AATCATGATTATGTTGTTTGTTACGGAAGCAAGAGACTATATTTCAGGCTCAATATCAACTTGGAAATGACAGGAACTACTCAGGAGTCTTGTTGTGGCACTGCAGGATAATGCACTGGACCAAAAGATCGGCGATGCTCGTCAGAAACCCGACACAGGATCACTATGCCTTGGAATCTACTCAGTTAACACTTAGCAACAACAACAACTCAGGATATAGTTCTTCAATCAGGAAACCTTTTCTTGCTCTCAGCCCTTGGCCCTTGCTCTTGACCTGTACTTTGCCCTGCTCAGGCAAGTGTTACGAAGTCCTTTGTTCCACCAATAAGCACTCAGAGACACCTCACTTTAGCAGGAAGCTTCCTGTCCAAAGGTGTTCAACACTCTTGCTCCTTGGGTCAGTGAGCCTTGTCTGCCACTGCTGCCGTCTCATGCTGTCATCAGTGTTACATTTTTCTGTATCTTGAGTCTAGGAACTTCTCAGCACAGGGTTGGACTTTGAGTGTAAAATATGTGCTCCATTTCTGGCTCGTCTTCTTTTTAAAATAACCATAACTGAAACTTATTAAGGGCTTCTCATCTGTAAATGCCATACTGTGTTTGCTAGGCCTTTCCCCCAGCCCCTTTAATTTTTTGTTGTGAATTATGTGAAGGTTGACAGACAAGATCAATACACTTTGTTTTACTTCAATGACTGCAATCCTCTCCATGGAACAATAGGCATTCCACCTCCTCCATGTGGCTCCTATCTCCATTCCACCCATTTCCCCCTCCCTTCTCAGTTTTGTCCTTAGGTACATGTTGCCCTTTTGATTTTGAATGATTGACCATTACATCATTCATAGTGAGTATACCTTACTAGTGTTGTTGTTCCCCTTATATACCTAGCTACTGTTTGGCTGAACGTTGGGTCATAAGGGTGAACTCCTTTCCAGACGGAAAGGGTCTGGAGCTTCTTCTTGATGGTAGCAAGGTCCTGCAACCTGTAAGATTGGTTCCTTTTAAGTCAAGCTGCATGGCAAAACAATCCTTACATGTGTTCCATGCACTTTATTTGCGTGGTTTCACCCAATCATTTTGTGGAAGTTACAAGACCATGGTTAGAAGGTATATGTAATTGCAGTTAACTGCACCACAATGGTAGTGCCTAGGAGCTGCCTCACTATTGCTTGCATAGTTTTTAATGCAACTGGCCAGGCACTAACAACTGTACACACATCGTGCGAGCATCTGCCAACGACTCCAGCAAATGGTTCTTGAGTTCTTGCTTTGCAGAGATTTCATTGCATAGTGCTTGGGGTCTTAAAAGCTTGCAAGTGGCTGTCCAAGATACAATAATTAGTCTCTATTTGTCTGGAGCAACAAAGGAAGAAGGAAAATCAGTAATAGGAGGAGGAAATGGGATATGTGGCTAATTGTCTCAGTGAACAATGGTCCCTCTGGCCCTGAGACCAGAAGAACTGGATGATGCCTGGCTATCATTATTGAAAATTTGATCAAAGATTCTAGAGATGAGCCCAGATCAAAGGGGTGAATGCAAAACAGAATTTTAAATTCTTATGGAATCCAGATTTTTTGGATTCAGGGAGGGTAGATGAATCCCCACAACTATTGTCTTAAAGTAATCTTTAAATTTTAAATAAAAAAATCCCTGAAATCTTGCCGGGGTCTGACCCCGACATAGTTGTCACGAGTTTTTGGTTCACGATGAGGGGAGATCCAGCGGCGATAGGGATAGCGAAAGAATACACAGACAAACAGAAGAAGGGAGACAATGAGGCACCCCAAAGCCAGGGTGGATACATCACTGGTGGGCAGGCTTGGGACTACAGGCATCATGGCCTCTGCAGGCAGCGACTCACTGCCCTGCAATCTTTAATGGATGCCTTCCAACCCGTAACGCACCGCAATCTTTACTCCATGCCTTCCAACCAGTAATGCACAGATCTTTACTCCATGCCTGCCAACCAGTAATGCACAGATCTTTACTCCATGCCTGCCAACCAGTAATGCACAGATCTTTACTCCATGCCTGCCAACCAGTAATGCACACCTGGGGAGGCCCGGGCCTCTGCTTTATTTAGGGGAGGAGTTTCACACCAAGCTGGGAGGGACTAAAACAGGATACAGCTAACATCAGTAATTTTCCAGACATTCAGGTAATTTTACATTGTACTTCACTGGTTCGAATCCCAGGCCAGCAACTTGAATTCTCAGGCCCAATTAACATATCTATAGCCCCTGAGGTCAGTTGGGGGAAGTTGAGAGTTCTGCAGGAGATGCCCAGGTGAATGGGCTGCACCTGGAAAAGGGATTAGGGAGGATGGGTTCTTTGTCTATAGAACAAAGAACCGAGAAGTAGCTAAGATATTTTTAGTTAATCCTTTGGAGAAAGGTTTAACCTTGCAACCTTTAGTCTTGGCTTTAGGAAAATATCACATTTATCTGTGGATTGTCAAAGGCTCCAAGTGTATTAATTTAATATATATACCTGAATATTAATATGAAAGCAATTTGCCATTAACTGCCAGTGGCCTCATTTGTTACACTCGGCCCTAGTGGGCCTCGAACCTCTGATTAGTCTTACATGGTCTGCAACAAAATCTTCTTAAACCAAACAATAATTTAGCTTAGCTAATAAGTAATATCTACTTCAAGCATTGTGCTCTTTTAAGGTTTTGTCTTTATAGTATCAAATTGACAATAACAACTCAAAACGTTAGCTAGGTAGCTTAGGGGGCAGTGAGTTGATGTTTTTGAGGGAAGAGTGTGTGAATGGTTTCACAATTTGAACAATGTAATCAATGTCATGGAATGCAATAATTTTTGAATTGGTATATGTTCTCCTGTGTATATTCTTGACAATAACAATAACAACAACAACAACAAAGAATAAATCACTTAAAGTATTTTCAGGATGAGTTCTTGAGGTGACAGTGTATATTTTGAATTTTCTTAAGTTATCCAATATGTGAGTAAATGGTCAGAACAACTAGATAGTAAAACCCTTTGTTGGGTGTCAAGTGAAGTGCTGGCGAGTCAACCTTGGAAAACACTGATACAGATGGGACATCATTTCCTCACAAATCCAGACGTACGGATGTTGAAGACAAACAGTTCCATGATTGGCACAAGAGAAAGCACAAGTTAGTTAAGGGTGTCGGAGAAGCTTGAGGGCATAAGAATTTCAAAATAGCCACCAGGGCCTCCTAGGAGACTGCAGAGGTTCCATTTGAGAAAAATAGCTGACTCTGGGAAGGCCTTGTGTACACCCTCATTTGAGGATGGCTGCAGGGGCCACATCATATTCTGAAGGGATTTGAACCCTCTAAAAACCCCAAGCCAGTTGTTGTCTAGTTAACTCTGACTCATAGTGCCGCTGTTTGTGTTAGAGTGGAACTGGGCTCCACATGGTTGTCAATGACTGAGTTTTGGAGACTAGATCACCAGGCATATGTTTTCCCTGAATTTTCTTTAGGTAGAATCCAACCTCCAACATTTCTGTGTATTGTAAGTGTTATGCCCAGAATTCAGGGTCCCCAAAGACCACCCAGGAGCCGT